AATGATATAAAATATTTATCGATATTATGTGTTAATAAGTTCTTTCAGAAAATAAAAAAAAAATGTTATGTTTCTATATATCATTAAAAATATGATAATGCATACCATTGTATTTAGTCACCCGATTATAATAGTGTGAAGATTGAGCCTGTGGAAACAGACAAAAAAAATAAAGGAAAGAGATTCACAAATGGGATGCACTTCTTCAACTAAACTTTTTTGAGGCAAAACCCAATAGAGAGAAGTAATCATTGGGCCTGTGAAAACACAAATTGTCGGTATGTAAAAATAAATGGCTAAATTATATTTTTATTTTTATATATTTTTTAATTTCTTATTTTAAAATAGTATATCACATTATTATAAATAACGATTCATAAATATGAATTTGATGGGATCAAAATTAAATATTTTTATTTTAAAATAAAAAGATTAAAATTATAGATTAATAAAAAAAACAGATTAAAAATATAATTTATTGAAAATGAAAAATAAAAAACATGTGAAAAGTATTTATATTCAACAAAAACATTATAGAACGTGGGTACTTGTGCGGTTGGTTTTGGTCTGAGCATAATTAGGAGCACGTAATGGGTGTGTTTGTTTCACTCATTCCACTTCCCAGTTATACTTTTCGTTTCAAATAAGTAACAAATTAGAAGAATTGTAAACTCCAAGCGTGTGGTTTATAGAGGTTGATTCACGCTTAAATAAGGTCAGGAATTCGAATCTTATCTTATGTATGCAGTCACGTTGAATTTTAGGGTCAGCTATCCCACTCTTTAAAGTGACAGTATATATTTTAGAGACAAAAAAAAAATTAAAAAAATTGTAGCAAAGTCGCATTCAGATTATTTAAATTATCATAACAGACCCAGAATAATGATTCATATCCTCACCATATTGGTGGAGGAATTCGCATCTAACAAAAATCACACTCAAATAAAATACTAATTATATTCTTCCTTCTTTATGCTAATTCAATGCATTTTTTTTATTATTTTTTTTGCTGTTCTGTGATACGCACGTATTATGGAAGATCGACACGTTTGTATATATTGATCATTTTGATGTTTAACTTTTCAGCTGATAAAAGCAAACCACTAAATTAAAATAAATAATAATAATAGGTTTATATGAATATACGAACTCTTGTATATTTAAAAGAATATTTCATTATGAAGATTGCTGTTTAAAGTTTATTGTTAGGAATGTGCGTTTATAGTTGTTTTGTATGTGATTTTATTTTATTTTAGTTCTTTACTGTTTTCTTTTTCTCACCATTAATTAATCTTTGCAATTTTTTTAAGAAAATTGTAGTTTATCAATATTAGCAATTGCATAACATGTGTATTTAATTATGTCATGTTATGAAATATATTAAGATTTACTTATTGGTGGAGTTTGCATAAAAACTTAAAATTCTATTTTTGTTGTTATTATTATTATTATTATTATTATTATTATTATTATTATTATTATTATTATTATGTTACTTTTTTTTTACTAAGGGAAGTGACATGTTACATGGTTATATGTTACATTAAAATAGTCATTAACTTGAAGTAATTTGGTATATCACATAGTACCGTTAAGATAAAGATTATGTTTAAATTAAATTTTTGTCCCAATTGAGATTTACTTAAAAATTTAAAATTCATGTTTAATGAAAAAAATTTGATAAATGAATTTCAAAGCTTCACTAATTTAATCATTTAACTTCCAAGTGTTAAAATATGTATACAATTTTTGGCTGACTTGTGTTAAATGTCAATATATGTACAATTTTTCTTTAATAGCTTATATGTATATATTTTAAGTTTATTATGAGAAAATTATATTGATACCCTTATTATTTTTTTTTATTTTTTTTTTTAGATTTCACATGATTTTCTGTTTTTTTTTTTTTTTTTTTTACATTTATTACAAGTCTTTTAATAGGATTACAGAGTGTTATGTGTTATGTGATTCTCGAAAATATAATACCAAACTTTAAAAACAAACATCTCCTATAAACAAATTTAGGAAAAGGTTTGACTGCATACAGTGTGTAAGTTATTATAAAATCTTTGGTATTGATTTCAATTTTTGATAGATTAAAAAATATAATATAATATAATTATCTAAATTAGATAAATTTGAGTCATAAAATTCATGTCTTCTTAGCATAACAAGCAACTAATTCGTGGTGTAAAATGAATGTTACTCCAGTATAGAAAAGTAGCTGGGGAAAACTTAATTTGCTTTTATAGAAGCCACAACTGAAAAAGTTGTGGTTTATTTTTTATTTTTTACATATATATTATTGGTTAAAATATATTTTTTAATTCATATAATTTCACTTAATTTTTCTTTTAATACTTATAGTTTAAAATAAATATTTTTAATCCTTACAATTATCTTTTTTAATTCTTATAATTTTAAATAAATCTTTTTATTTATTATAACTACAACTTTTTAATTCATTTAGTCTAATAACAAAATAAATTTGACATAAAATACACTAAATTAAATTATTATCTTTATCACATCAACATAAATGAGATAACGTTATAAAAAGAGATTAATAGTACATATTAAAATAATTAAAAATTATAAATATAGAAACTTAAGAAATTTAAAATATAAAAATTAAAAATATTTATTTTAAATTATGAAGACTAAAAAAATAAAGTGAGTAAAATTAGAGGAAGTAAAAAATATTTTAACTTATATTATTTTACAAATGATGCCAACTATTATTCATTTATACCCATAAAGTAAGAAGTCCCATGACTTGGAGATACCAAGGACCATTACTTTAAAAAAAAAAATAATAATAATTGATTTAAAGGGAAGATTGTAACATTATTACCTTTAGTTTACACAAATAAAGTAAAATTGTGGCATACATGTACCATTTATTTATGGAGTGCATTTTTTTTTTTATAATATTTGCACTACCGAATATGGAGATTATTCTCTCTTCGTTAGACCCATTCCATATCTATGTTGGTAAGATTTGAATCTTTTTTCTTTTTTTTTGGCACAAAGTAAGAATTGAATCTAAACCTGCATTTTATAATTTCCTATTGGAAAAAGCATGAAATGTTGTACAATATAGGAACACGTAAAATCACTGTAAATTGATTAGCATTTCATTCGATTTCCACACTTATTCGTATTTTATAGTTTTTTTTTTTCTCTTGGAATATAGAATATTATGGTTTAGTGCACTTATGCTTTATTTTATTTTATTATGGTGAACTTAATTCTAATAGAGATTTAAGAATAAAACGTACCTATTTAGCATTGCTCTATAGTTTTGAAACCTAAAAGTTGCTGAAAAAACAATGTTGGGCTTTGGGCTAGCCTAGATGCTTAGACAATGAGAACATGTATTGATGATCCATAAAATTGTGGCCCAAATTGATCCTAACCTTTGTATCCTATAATGACATTGACATGCTTGGTTTGCAATTTGTTTATTACCAAATCATGTTTCCTTCAAAAAGCTCCAAATTAATATCTTTTTTTTTTCTTTCTAAAACTTGTTAGTTGACCAGGCCATGTTCATTTCTATTAAATATAAGGTATTTTTCACTTGAGACTTGAGAGTAATGCCTAATTCATTGAGTTATTGAGTTTTTTTTTATTCCTTTAAAAGGTTGACTTCTTCGATATATATTATTTTTTATTTAAGATTGAACTTCTTATGATTATAAACTTAATAGATAAAGTTATTTATAAAGTATATCACAAATATATCACTGGATGTTCATTTTTTTTTAGTATATATGTGGTTATATTTTTTTTTATAATATTATTTATCGTGGATAATTTGAGTTTTATTTTAACCTAAATTTAAGTTTCATTCTTGAAATTTTAGTTTTCAAATAAAATTAGTTTATTTTTATTTAAGTAGTATTTTATATTTTCAAATTTTTTTAAAAATAACCTTTAAAATAATATTTTAATTTTTATAACATTAATTTAGTTATTTTAATAATATAATAATAACTTATTAGTATATGCATTTTTATGTTTATATAATCTATATATTATTATTATTATTGTAGTAATAATTACTACAATAGTACTAATTTATGTTTATATTTATTTTAATGTTATTATTTTTCTAGTTATTTTATATTCTTCACTATTATATTGTTGTTGTAAAATATTTTTGATTTTATTAAATTTATAGCATTAATTAACTATTATTTTTATTTTAATATTTTTTAGGATCATTTATATGTGTTATAGATGTTAGTTGAATTTAAAATTTGAACTTGTGTTCTTCATTACATAAGTTTGATACTCCTTACAACCACTAAAATCCTGCTTTAAGAAATATATATACTTAAAAAGATTCATAACATTAAAGGTAAATTTTCTCTGATGATCATTTTTGTTGACCTTCAATTTGATAAATAAAATCTTGAGTTAAATTAGACATTATTAAACTTTGACTAATCTCTTAAGTGGATGATATGTTTAATTTGAAGATCTTCAACATGTCATTGACTCACTGTCAGATGGTGACAACCATACCTCTCTTATTTATCATTTATTAAATTTATAGTATTAGTAAACTATTATTTTTTAGTTTTACTATTTTTTTTAGCATAGTTTATATTTGTGAATGATGTTACTTGTGTTTATTTACTTTATATTTTTTTTTTTGAAGATTATCGTATATGTTATAAAAATGAATTAACGTTTTTTTTTTATATTTTAAATGTGTTTATTATATTTTAAATATTGATTACAATATTATTTTATGATATTATTCTTAATTAATTTATGATTTTGTGTATTTTTTGTTTATGTACATTTTCATTTTAATAATAATAATAAAGAGTGTAGTAAAGTTATGCCTGATAAAATGAGCGGGAAGAAGACACGTGGCAAGTCTAGGACATTCATTTTATATAATAGTATAGTAAACAGATAAATTATATTCTGCTAATTTCCTTTCTTGACCTCAGATTCCTAAACAGCACTGCAATTTTGTGGGCTCAGAATACCAACTTGTTACAGAAAATAAATATTAAATAGTATACACATAGACCCAAACTTACACATAATCCAAAGCATTAAATCTATAACGTTAATCTAACATGCTGCATCTTGCTCTTTTAGTTATTGTCCAAAACCCCTTAGTTCCTTACATGTACTACTACATTAATAATTAATGTCACAATATACATAACTCATTACTCAAACTGACTGATGATTCTTTTGCTTTGGCACTACTTCACTAGAGTCATGACTTGTCTGCCAAAACCTAAAGTTCAAAGATCTTCTTTCCAGCATGTTCTCCACTTCCTCAATTGGAAGTCCTTTGGTTTCAGGCACAAAAATAATGACAAAGATAATGGCTGCAATAGTGATGAATATGAACACCATGAATGTGTATGAGGTCCCAATGGCTTGTGTGAGGGACAGAAAGGACTGGGCCACAATGAGATTTGAGACCCAATTTGAGGTAGATGCCATTCCTCCACATACCCCTCTGTACCTTAGAGGATAGATCTCAGAGTTCACAACCCATGGAACTGTTCCCATCCCTGGTGAGAAGAATATGATGTAGAGTCCTAGGCCAATCAATGCAAGCCATCCATATTGGCTAGGGCACCCTCTAGTGTACCATAGCCTCTCCTCATTTTGGCACTGATCTTGTGATGTGTCATTGGAGATCAAGCATGCCCCAGGTAAAAGCTGTAGAATAATTGGTACTTGTGTTAGGACTTTTGGAACTTAATTGAAAAATGATAAGAGTGATTGGGGTAGTGTTGGGACTAGGAATTCTAGTGTACAGATAACCATTTTCCTAAATTGATGCAATAATTATTATAGTTTAGTAACATAAAGCTTAATAAAGACTACTAGGGTATGTGAAGTATGCTAATATAGGATATGATGGTTCTTGTGATGTTGAGTAACATAATAATATGGTGGTATTAGAGAGACAGACAAAAAAATTTATCAAATAAGGACCCACCATAAATGGTTGGAAGTTACAGTAATTAATATTTGTGTCTTTTTCTCAACAATTGGAACATATCTTATACAATAGAGGATCCAAATCTGAATCAGAAAATCTCTTCATGTACTTGCGTAGTTAGGGCATGTTTAGTTTCAATTTTCTAAAAGTACTTAAGAGAAAAAAGTAAGAATGAAAAATAAAATAAACTTTTTTATAACTAAAATTAACATATGCTTGTAAAAAATCCCTTCCTATTAATTTTTCTAAAAGTATGTTTTTTTAACTTGAATATAAGTTAGTTTTAGCTTATAATCTAAAAAAACTCTTAATATAAAAGGGGTGATGACAAATTTACCTTATTAGCCCTAGAAGCACAAAAGCCACACTCTGGAGAAGCCTTGAGGCATTTCATGCAATCCCATTCAGCAGGGTTCAAAGCTGTTCTGTAATCAGGGCAAGTAGTGTTGTTGAAGTGAGAGGTTTCAATTGTGCTTACCATAGGGGAGTGAGTTGTAGTCTCATGAAAAACAACAGTTAAAACAACAAGGGACACTACAACACCAGACAAACTGAACAACAAAAGCTTCTTCCTCCCAGTTTTGTCAATAAAATAAATGCTCAAAATAGAACCAAATGCATTTAGCCCTGCAATGACAAGAGACAAAAGCAGTGCCACCCTATTGGATGCAAAACCAGCCAACTGAACAATGGTGGGGCTGTAGTACATCACAGTGTTGATCCCTACAAATTGCTGGAAGATTTGAAGGCCCATTCCAGCATATAAACCTCTTCTCACAGTTTTAGTCTTCAGCAGCTTCATTATGCTGACTTTATCTGAAGCTGAAGCTTCATTGACTTCCATTTCAACTGATTCCTTCAGAGCATTGATTTCATCTTCAACATCTTGGGGAGGGTATATCCTCCTTAGAATTTCTTTTGCTTCTTCTTCTTTCCCCTGTTAAGACCCAGAAAAGTAAATATAATGGTTTTGACCAGAAAAATTAAATTAGAAAAATGACAAAATTTAGTTACAATTGCTTAGGTAAGATTGGTGTTATTTTACAATCAAAATTAAAGTTTTAATATCGATAGTATGCGCTTGCATTTAATGTAAACTCATTAATATATATTTAAGTAAGTTACAAAGGTAAACCTTTAATTCTAATTAAAAAACAACACAATCACACCTAAAAAATTGTAGCTAGGTATTATCATTAGAAAAACTACTTATAAAAGGTGATGATTATGAAGGAACCTTTCTGAAGAGCCACCTAGGTGACTCTGGGAGCAACATCATCAATATTATTTGTGTGAAAGCTGGTACTGCTGCTACTCCTAACATCCACCTCCATGTTCCTGGTGCCTGAACAAATGATTTAAAACATCTAGGTTATACAAATCTATACAACATAATTTATGTTGAAACAAACCTTTTGTAAACATGTTTATTTAAAGGATAAAATTTATCTTTGCCACTGAATTCTCATGACTCATCAAATCACGAAATGTAATTAAAAATATTGTATATATTTAGTAACATATTCTTCACAGAGCCTATTAAATACTGAAAAAGAAAAATCCCACTTGTCGCAAAATGATCACTAATAACATATTGTCTAAGATATTTTCTTAACATGCTCTTCATTATTAGTATACTTAAAAATTATAAAATTATGAACAAAACTAGTTAAATACGAAATAAGGTCTGCAATTTTGTCGATCTTAATAATTAAATTTTAAATAATAATTAAGAATGTGCTCGAAAGAATGAATTAAAGATAATCATGTGGTGAAAACTTAAAATAGTATGCACAAAGTTCTAATTTGGAACCGTGGTATCATCAATATAATTCTAATGAATAATAAAAAAAAGTAAACTAAAGAGCATATTATTATCTCTTCATGTGACTGACATATTTTATAAGTTTGGTTGGACAAGAGTTTAGTAGAGTTTTTGGAAGTTTCACTATTAAAAATAAAGATTTTTTTTTGAAAAAAAAAAAAAAAACTGTTAAACACTTTTTACTTGTATTCATGCAAAACTCCATGTGACAAATGACTTATGATGAAAATATCTAAAGAGGTTGAACTCACACTTGTGAAGGCCAAGTTGATGACATATGAAAGGAATTGTCCTCCTGTGATGAGAAATCCATTGAGACTAACAAGGGCACCTCGAACTCTGGTTGGTGATGCTTCTGAGATGTATAAAGGTGATGCCATTGAGGCCATTCCAACACCAAGGCCAACGAAAACTCTACCAACAATTAGAATAGCTGGGTTGATGGAAGCAGCCATCACAATAGACCCTATAAAAAAAAGGGTATCTGCTAGAACTATTGCCTTTTTTCTTCCAAATCGATCGTTGATCCATCCACCAACTGAAGCTCCTATGATTGCTCCAGCAAGAGCCATACTCACTATTGCTTCCTATTTTATGAACACCAATGTTCAATTATTATTGCTATGGACTATGATGCAATTAACATAACAACTTAACATTTGAGTGTCTTTGTAAATAGAAAAAGAATCTGTAAGTGATTATAATTTTGGATAAAAGTTAGACATGTTGAGAATTTTTTTATTAGAATTTTTTTTTTATTTTCAGTATAAAAAAAAAACCCTTCAAAATCTTTTATTAGCTTCTAATTCGAATCATAAGGGGAAAATTTGTGTTCTGTATCATTATTTTCTTTGTTTATTCTTCCTTCTAAGAAGAAAACATTATAAAATATTATAAAACATTAAATTCGTAATAACAGACTAGGAGGGAAAAAAATTACTTAAAGGATCTTCTATAACATAGTTATTTTACTTAGCAAATATTGAGGATACAAACAAAATCAATTTTAGATTATTGGACTAGAAAAAGAAAATCCATTAAGTAAAAGCTTAGGAATGTCACAACTTTAGGGAAAATTGATAATAACATTAATAAGAGGATTGTGGGCCTATGTATTAAAAACAATTATGGGCCTTTAGGCCCTTCTAAGTTGTTGTTGGCAAAAATCTAACGTAAATTATGTCAAATGGTAGAATTATATATATTCCACATATTTGTCTAGCTACATATTCAGGTTATTTGTTAAAATACTGCTTTTCCTTGAATGGAATGATGTAGATTCAGAGTGAGAATATCGAAAAATTTATGTTCGATCGAGCTTCTTGATGTTCTAAATTTTGAGATATGGGGACCACAAACTTGTGGCCAAAATTCAAAGTTTAAATTCGGGTCCACAACCTTCTTTGATGGAGTGAAAATCGAAAGTTTCCCAAACTCAACTAATCGTAAAAAAAATATATATATGAAGATAATAATGAATCAAATAATTGTGGTCTTCAAAAAAAGTTCTTATTTTGTTGTAATATAATAAAAAATAAGTATTTTCTGAAAATATAAATGACTATGATATCTACGGAATTTTAGTTTTGTTAATTCCACGTAACAATCTGTATTTACTAGCTCAATTTTTTTTAAAAGTTTTTTTTCACATCCTTATGACATTGATATCATCTGTCCTTTTTCTTCAATTTTTTTTGGTGGTACAACATGTGGCAATGGGGGATGAGATCATCTAATACATAAATGCTCATTTAATTACATGTAGTTAGAGTCTTGCACATTATTGCGTTGAGATTCTCACTAATTAATACACTTCTTCTAATTCATAATTTTTTATTAATTAAAATTTATTAAAAAATTATAAAATAAAAAGAAACTTTTAGATAAGAAAAGAGACCCACAAAAAATAACAATTTTTAAATTTTTTTAAAAAGAGTGTTTCAACCGATCATGGAGATTGTAAAATAGAATTAATGGGAAATCATTTTCACGAATATCATCTTTTATCTTGCTGGGAATCAGTGCTGTTATCAACTTCTCATCTAGTGCTTATTTACGTTTCTTAATTTTACTTTAGACCATCGGTTATATATGAATGAACAACAACGAGGGCATTAAAGTCCATAAAAAAGAACAAATCTGGGAAGAAAAAATAAAAAAGAAAAAGGTAAACTAAAAATCCTTTCATGATACTTCATGAACATGTTTCATAAATACATAAATAGAATACACATAATCTTATTAAGTTTTTTACCTGCAGCCATGTCTTTCTATCCACCTCTTTGAAATCATCTCTAATATACAAAAGAGCTCCAGATATTACTCCTGCACACACCCATATCATATATTCATCAACATCAACACTACACTTTTGGTATTTGTGAACAAATAAAAGTGGTGTCATAATTCATATATAAATCAATAAACTAAATATTATGAGAGCTTTATTTAATTAATTACCAGTGTCATAGCCAAAGAGAAAGCCTCCAATTCCAGCAGAGAAAGCAAGGCGAAGAACATAAGGATTTTTCCACGATAGAGACAAACATTCTCTGAAGGCAGAAACATCAGCTTCTGGTACTCCTCCTTCCATGTTGAATGAACAACAACACAAGCAGATTAAGCTACGTTTGTTAGTTTCTTTCTCTTCAACAACGCAAAGCCCATTAAAGGTGGCTATAGAGTTTGCTAGAAAATTCGAGAAGTGAGTGTGTATGTGTGTGTGTGAGAGAGAAAGAGAGATACTCAAAGGGATTAATATGATGAGATGGATGAGACGAGTAGCATATTTATAGAGAGAAATTCAATGTGATGATGAAATTTGATGCATGCATGGATGGGAATCACATGGAGAATTTGGAATTTTCCATCATGATAAAAGTTGGCACGTAATCATTTCGTAAGACCAAGTAATGTTAAAAAGAAAAAAGGAAAGTAAAATAGAATGGAAAAATAATTTATGTGGGAACTGTGAGAGACAGGTACCACAGTTGTGAATAGCCTTCTTATCTAGCCGACACTCGAGTACGTGACAGTGCAAGGCCCAAACCTAGTAGGCTCGAACGCCACAAATTTTGTCTTGGTTAAAAAAATATTTTGCTTATTATGCTTTTATTTCTCTTGTTTTGTTCTTTTTCTTCGCTGAATAGGACTGTGAAAAGTGAAGAACACAAAGGAACTACGAGCAAGTAACACTGTCAAACTAAAGAGACTGAAAACAAAATTTCAGGAAGGAAATTAAATGTGTTGTAAATCATATGTGAATCACAGTGGTTATTACAATAGAACGCAGTGTTTATGGTACGGTTTAGACTGAATTTAGAAAAATCAGGCGATGTTAATGTAATCGTGAAATAGATAAATTATTATATTTAGTTTAAATTGATTATCCAAAAAACATATTAGTTTAAAATTATTTAAATAAAATAGTGAATTTCATTCATTTTTATCATTTTTTCTATAGTACAAGTATTCTTTACAAAAGATAGTTATCGTTAAGACCATCAGAGTTACCAAAACTTTTTATTTGAGTAATTAGCACAGTTGCATTCAATAACTCGACGAACTTTTTCATTTGAATTGGAGTGGTTGGTTATTGAGTTTTTATCTTATTTTAAAGAAAAACGGATGTTAAATAAAACGTCAAATACATATTAAAAAATATTTAAAGTAATAAATATTTTATTATGAATCACAGCATGTGATCCAAATTATAAATCTTAGGTAAAATAACATAAAGATTTTCTCAAGTACATTTCCACACCTAAATTTAAATTTAAGTTTAAATATTGTTTTAGTCATTATAATTAATTAATATTGAGGTATTTTATATTATTTCTATAACTCTTTATTTTTAAAATTGATACATTGTTACCTTTTTCTCATCCAATTCAGTTAACATTGATAGTTTTACAAATTTTGATGATTTTGATTCTTACATTTTGATGATTTTAAATTGTCATTATTAAAATTTTATTTTAAATTTTAAAATTGTAATAGATTAGTATTTTGACAAATTAAATATTATAATGTTAAGATAACAGTTGTTTTACATTGTCACTATGTTATAATTATAAATTTTTGAAAAAATCTTTCATTTTCTCTCTCTCATGAGCACACTACTCCTCTCCATGTCCACCTCTACTACATCCTCATTTGCCACAACCAAAACCACCTAAGTAATAGTCACCTATGTTGCAATTACTTCTGAAATTTTTGCCTCTGTTCTCTCTTCCTAAATGCTCTTTTCTCTAACCCTCCACCACATCCACACTCTCTCCCTCCCCCTGAAGGCCTTCATCATCATCCACTACCTTCTCTCCTCCCTTTACCTCCTTACCACCATTTCATCATCGTTGTCAACTGTGATGAAATTAACTTCAAGGATAGATTTCTCCTCTTAACTTCTTCCTACTCCTTTGACCTTCATCCATGAGATTAATTCTTTGAAGAAGAAAAAACTTGAAAATGGTGGAATGGTTAAGGAATGGTGGCGACACTTCTAATAAGCACCTATTCCAAACACTAGTTGCATCTCCTAAAATAATAAATACACCCTTAAACAGAAAATTACAAAGAAATAAATTTTCAATCTAAATGATCCAAAAATACAAGGTCACAAATAAAAGAAAATATCTATAAAGAAGACATGAACTATAAAAGTAACATGTAACTCAAAATGAGCTCAGGTTTTCTATCTTCATCTCTAACTCATTCATCCTACATCTCATTTGACATGGCCCTTGTGATAAGACCTTTGGAGGAAAATATGGCATCAAAATGCCACAAGGAAACACGACCCAAAGGGTGGGACTTTTCCTGTATGTCCAATATCCTTCAGCAACCACCATCAAAATGCACTATGCGGAGAGCAATTCCATTGATTATTTTGGATTCTCCTTTGTTTTGGTGTCTTGGTTACAATCCTTCTAGATAATGTGTTAGGAAGCAATGATGAAGTGGGGAAGCTTGAGGGGGAGGATGAAAAGTAGATAGAGAAGGAAAATGAGGATAATTTAGTGAGAAAAGGGGGAGAGGTATGATAACGGGTGCTCTAAGACCTAAAAATCGTTCTTGATTCTTGAATTTCTTAGTTCTTTTCATCTGACTTTCTCTTATGATGTTCTTCTTCTATCTAAAAAATCTTAAATATTAAAAATATCTAATAAAGAATAAAATGTGTGTAAAATTATGTCTTCAAATTTTATTTCTTATTCTTGCTAAAAACATGATTCAGAAGCATAAGACATCAATAATTTTCTAATATTACTAAAAACATACACATGTATGACAATTATCATTATTTTAATTCTTTCTAAATTTTTCATAACCAAAACAATTGTTGTGCTTGGACTATGACATGACTCCTTTAGAAAGTACAATAATCGATCCATTAGGATTTATATCTAGGCTTAATTTTATTGTTACTATTGTGATAGGGTTTGCTTGCCCTTAGGTGTGCTTTATACGCATCAGTAGCCTCTTAGATCTAAACTTGATTTTCATTCTTGCTTGCATGCCTCTTTGAAAACCTTGTGTCATTAGAGTTGCTTCTCCTAGAGAACGAGGAATCATAGAAATTATGTTGCATCTCTTATCTCTTCATTTGAGTAAAGGGTGAGAATATATTGCTCACTTGTGTGACTTAAGTTGTGGGTAAAGGGGTTTACCTTTACCCCAATTGTTTGCAATTTATGTTGTAAGGGGAATATGATTTCCCCAAATTCCTTATACGAATGATGATCAATTATTGAATGATATTGTGTGTTAGAGTAACTTTCTACTTGGTGTATTAATCTTCTTGTAATCTTAAATATGAATTGGTGGTGTGATCATATGATTTTGAATTGTGACATTTTTTTTTGTATTTTTTCAAGTTATAACTAAGTAAAATTATTTTCAAAGCCAAACTTAGGAAATCTTAAAATGATTAGGTATGAATGATAGTTTTATGGGAACCTTGATAAGAAAAAAATCAAATTTGAAATAATTTTTGTAGCATTGGCATTGAGCATAGTTAGTTTTTCTAATCGAGAAAATCAAAGAGACAAAAATCATTTAGCGACTACCATGTTTGTCGCTAAATTAAGAAAACTAGTCACTAAATGGCTTAGTGATCGAAATAGCAACTACCAGTCATCGGTTGCAAAAATCTTATTCGCTAAGCCTTTTTAGCAACCAAAATTGTCTTCGTAGCTGATTTGCAACTAATAACTTTGGTTGTTAATATAAAATTGGTCTGTCGTTGCAATTTTGGTTGCCCTTGATAATGGGGACTAAAATGGCGACGAGTATTTGTCGTCGCAAAATCGGTCGCTAAAATATTAAATTTATTAAAAATAAAATATTTGGAATGTGAAACATCTTAGTATATCTTTGAGATTGAAGATTTTTGTCATTAAATCGGTCGCTAAAATTTTTAATTTTCAGAAAAAATAAATATTTTTTTTGTTGCTTCTTCCAACACACTATTATCATACAATATTTTAAACTTTTAAACAAAAATGTATTATGTAAGAAAAATATAATCTTTGTCATAGTTATAATAAGAATTACATTTTATAGCTAAAATAAGATAAGTATTTTTTGGCCAAGCTAAAATAAAACAAATTCAATCCAATTAACATTAAAATAAAATGAGTTATATAAATTTAAGTAACAGAATAATGACATGGACATATAAAAAACAATTAAAAGAAAATATCTAAAAGATAAAAAAAAAACTCTAAATATAGTGCAAATGGTGGTTTTTTTTATTTCTTTGATTTATAACTATAGGAAGACTTGGTAGCATATTATATTTCAAGTCTTCAACCCTCCAAAGTAAGTATTTGATATGCATGGTGAAATTGAAGGTCCATCCTATAAGAATAACGTAAGAATTCTTGTGATAGTTGAAGTTGTTCACTTTGTAAGCTTAACCTGTCGAATGTGAATATAATTACAACTTGTACAAAAACACACATCAAAGCACATATTTTTAGATGCAAATCTCATAATATAAATGTGAATATAATTACAACTTGTACAAAAACACACATCAAAGCACATATTTTTAGATGCAAATCTCATAATATATTAAAAATATTTTCTGATATTTAATTAAAAGAAAAAGCAAATTGAATTGGCAATTTCTCATAACATATAACTATGAGTTCTCAATTTATATGCTTGTGTTGTTTATTTGGTAGAGTTTTTAGTTTTCTTACCTATTTTTGTCAAAATATAAAACATGATGAACCTAAAGAATTGTTATTAAAATAGTTGATAGAACCCCCACATAAGCATATAAAGAAGGCATTACATGCAAAAGAAATATTGTAGCAATTGAGCAAAATTGTACTGTGTTAAAAGATAATGATAGAAACAAATTATAATTTTGACATTTTTTTTTATAGAAAATCATGCTATAATCTTTCAATTTATGTAATTGATTTGATAATATACAAGCAAACATCCCATCACAAAGCAACCATATCAAAGAGAGATTTAAGAAATTAAGAAAAAAAAATAAAATTCAACTAGATCAATATTTCTTTTTGAACTACCAAGTTGCAACTATGATATAAGTCCTCAATAATTATCCTTCTCTAATAACTTCAATAAGAATATAGCATAAAGATAGATTCAAGCAAATGATAATTTTGGTGTTGGCTTGAAATTTTTAAAATTTTGATGCTATAAGAGATAATATATGATAAGTTTATAAATGAGGAACTTCTCATTCATTCATGAATAATAATCAATATAAATACATGTTAGTGGTAACAAAGTTGTAACC